ATGTATGTATGTATGTATGTATGTATGTATGTATGTATGTATGTATGTATGTATGTATGTATGTATGTAGGTATGTATGTATGTATGTATGTATATATATGTGTGCGTATGTATGTATATGTATGCATGTTTGTATGTTCAACGGGAAATTCAATATTATCCGAAAAACACCTTTGGAGGTCGGGACACGAGTTCGGGATGGGTGGAGCCTCAAATAAGACCAACAGAGGACACATGAGCCCTGCGAAGCTCCGCCTACATGGGGCGGGGCAAATGTCGGAATGGGCGGTGTGAATGGCCAAACGTCTTATTTTGGCTTCGAAAAGGTCCAGACACCGGGGAAAAATAGAGTAAGGTGAAATAGGTTCAACAAACCAGACGAAAGACACCCATATGCTGTAGGCGGAGCGTCTTCGAAACGGGCGGTACCTTTCACACGATTCGTAACTCGACTAAACAAAGGCGCGGATGCCAGAAAAAAAATAAAGGGAGTGACAAAGACCTAATATGTGTGGAAGAAAAGGTGGCTGGAGCTTAAAGAGGATATGTGGTCAAAGCTTCAAAGTGGACGGGGATCTAAGATCAAAAACCCACAACTCCATTCAAAGGCGTTTTACAGCGAGGCAAAAAAAGAGGTTGCAGGCGAATCTCCAAAGTGCGCAGGATTTGCACCACGGTGGGCGGTGCTTAAGCTGATTATTCAAGAACAAGATGGGGGGCTCATGGCAGGTGACAGGTGTAAACTCTGCCCACTGAGGGCGGGGCTTTCGCATTAGTTGTTAATTTGAACCTGGTGCGCTCTCGACGGCTTATTACGCATTAGCTGGGGTGGGAGAGCGCTAGTCTCCATTTTTTCGGAAGAGGGTGGTCACTGTGTCGCTGAGACGATTACGCTCCAGGTTATCTTCAAGGAAATCCATTTATCAGGAGCTGTGAGACGCGCACGGTATCGTGCGCAGGCCAACTGGTTTGTCAGGTATTGCCAAACAAGGCATTGCTCGACTCTTCAATAAAAAGGTTTATCTTGCTCTAAGGAATAGGTTCCAGAATTCTAGCGACTGTGTGAATTGCATGGCAACAGAAGAGCGCGTTTTGGGCTGCCCGCTTGAAAATTGCTCTACTGCGAACAACGATTCATACAGAAAAAAAATTCCGCCTTCAGGCCAGCTCAGAGGGACGATCAGAATTTCGAAAACGCTCACCAAAAAAAAAGGTGCAATCAGAGGGAATGAGCAAGGAAAATTCCGAATTCTCTTTCTTTTCTCTCGAAGGCCGAGGTATTTTGCCTGTGAGACTAAAGGGTAGTCTATAGTTCAAACTTACAAATTATACCCATATGCCTATATTGTAGTAATATGCACTCAATGTAAAAAAAACGCAGAGCATTGTTTTTCTAAAGGGAGCTTTTAACAAAATTCTCGACCTGAACCCCGTAGTATCATTTGTGGGCCATCAACACACAATAGAACTCAATTACTCACTTTGAGCGTTTTCTGTAGAACATTCAAATGAATGTCTTGCTTGGACAATGAATTCTCGGTTAAGCCCATATCTATACTTGCCTTTCTTTTTGAGAGAATGCAAAACCAACTGCAGGATTTCTGTTCAAGATTAAGCTCTCTCAATATCAGTGAGATTCATGGACACGACCCACACAGCCTCAGTAAAGTTTTTTTCACTTTTCACCGGCAGTCACATGCAGCATGTAGTGTAATAAGACCTTGAAGGCATAGCTCACGTTAAAATGACTTCAAAGATTCCTCCCCATAAAAAAACTATGACTCCCAAAAGTAGAGCAAATGACGCCGTCGGATCAAAAAACGGTCTAGTTAGAACGTAATAAGGGCCCCAAAAATTGGCTCAGGCGAAGCACTCACCCAAAAAGGACGAAATCTCACGGCATCATAAAAACTGTGTAAGTTTATCTATTTGCACCGGGACGCACATGTTGTATGTAGACGGCTGACTGTAGCCAGCCGTAGCAGTTGCTCTTCCTGTTGGGGAATCTGTGATCTCTAATAGTAGAGTAGTTGATCTTGTATA